AATTAGCTTTTTATTAGTTCTTTTATTAACTCATATTTTACTTTTATTGTTTTCCGAAAATTGTAAATTATTACTATTATCATCATTATTTGGATTAGCCATTTATCACTTCAAGAATTTAGTGTTGTAATGCGCATTCGATCATATCTTTATTGCATGCTAGACTGCGCAATATAAGAAATAAACATTATTATTATTATTTTAATGTAGCAATGTTTTAGGCTAAACTGTGAAAGATCAATTTGCTAAACTCCTTCTTTATTAATGGGAAAGGCTTTCCGTTGCATGCAGTAGGTGGAGGCACCTTTACCCTCTTTTACCATTCATTCAATTATTCTTAAGTTTTTACCATTTATTGTATCATTCTTTAGAACTTTACTTTTCAGCTTATTTGTTGCTATAACGGAAGAGATGTCTTGTGCATGCGTGACCTTGGCATCAGCTGAAAACCGTGGTAAAAGGGTCCACACTCTTTCCAACATCACTAACACAGCATAAAGGGAAATCAAAGTGTCTCTGTTACGTTGAGGACAAGCTATATTTTACGCCACTATGACTAAAGCGGTATCCAACCTAGGGAGTACTAGCGACGAACTATAGCTTGTCGCACTCTGAAAGTATTAAAAAATTATGCCTTTCAAAATGGTGTTTCCTAGAAAAGAATTTCTTTTTTGAACATGACCAAGTATTTTAAAGTCAATGATTAAGAAAATTAACATTTTGGAAAGTAACCTAGTTACCACGAGTTTTTAGCTTTCTGTAATCCGTAACAGAAAGATTATTGCGGATAGCATTGGTGAGAATAAACATTAAAAATTCTTAATACACAAAGACGGCTTTCTTCTGAGAAGGATTCGAACACTTAAAGATCATGACTAGTGGTAAAATAGAACAGCCAGTTCGATTCTACTCAAACTGTTTTAACAAGTCAAACGTCTGAGCTCCTCCATTTTCTGAAATACCGTGTTACAAGAAGCATTTCTATTTTGTATACGTTTGGTGAATTTTTAGCGAAATCTTTGAAACTATAAACCCATTTACATTTGTTACTAATAAGAGAAAAGGCTTTTTAATGGACGTGGGTAGTACAACCTCGTTTATGATCCTCCTTTACAATTCACTGAATTATTCTGTGTAAATCAATCCATAATTTAGTTTATTTGTTATTACAAGGTAAAAGAAGTTTGAAGTTGCTTTGATGCGAGTACTTTTTATCCACATTTATTGGTGGTAGAAAGGAATAGTTTCTTGACCGCTGTGCTTACTCTGACAACAACGATTCAAACCTTAGAGCTCCTTACAAATCTTTCTTTTCGATTTTCCTAAAAACCATGTTTCCACTACCAGAATTGAATTTATATACATCTACTGTAAATATAGCAACATCTCTAGTTAAAACTTGTAAAATCATTTTCTTTAAACTACTCCCTAATAATGGGAGAGGCTTTTCATTTCACGTGGTTAGTAGAATCTTGTTATTGACCCTTTTTAACCATTTATTATACATATTTTTTTAAAGTTCATAGTTCGGTTAATTTGTTGCTTTGGGGTATTTTATTTTTATCACCATATAATGACGAAGTATCAAAAAAGTAAGACCGGTGCCGAAGATGATAACTAGTTGTAAAAAAGAACAGTCACTTGAATGTTGTTTGAGTTCCTTACTAGACAACAACAAGTCAAACGTCTCACCTCCATTTTCTTAAATTCGTGTTTCGACTAGTTCTTCTTTATTTATAAACCTTTGGTGAATTCTTGACGAAAAGTAATCAAAAATAATCCTTTTAAGTTTGTTCCAAATAACGGAAGAGGCGTTTTTACAGGTGTGGTTTGTAGAATATCGTTTTTGACTTTCACTCACCTTTTATTGAATCACTCTGTAAAACAATCATATTTCACCTTATTTGTTATTGCAAGGTAAAATAATCTTAAACTTGTTTTGGTGCATGTACTTTTTATCCGCATATAACAGTGACGTGGCTGTGTCGACATTCTTTCCACGATAAAAAACTATGAAAAGAAATCTACTGATAAAAAGAAAAACTAACAATTTCAGCACCTAATCACCACCGATGTTTACCTTTCTGTAAGCTTGAAGTAGATTTAAATTAAAACTTCATACACCAAGAAGGGTGGCTTCGGGAAAGAATAAGGCCCAAAGATAATACTCGGTGGTAGAAACGAATAGTGCCTAGCTGTGTGTTGAACGTTGTGCTTCCTTTACCAACGAGTCACACGTTCGAGCTGCTCACAAATCTTTCTCGATTTTCCTAAGAAACATCTTTCAACGAAAATTGACCTTATTTACATTCAAATGTAGTATTTTTTTTTTATTTGGCACTTAAACCTCTCGTAGATAACATCACCAATCAAAGATTTACATAGCATGTCCACGGCATGTTGAGAACCTTTAACAGTGCCTTGTAGGGAACTCCACAAGTTCAAGAATTATGCCGTATAAGTCTTCAACTCGTGGTGTTCGCTACAAGGCACTGTAGGGCCTCGCCTTACTGAAACGTGCACTATCTAGAACGATCGAAAACTAACTCCAATGAATTAAGAACAGCTATGAACTTCTTAGCTGCTTACAAGTAAGTATCCTGAGTGTACCAAACCTGTTTAAAGGACAAGAATCTTTGATGAAGTCAGAAGATCACATAAAAAGCATGTATTGTGAAATATGTTTCGAAAGTGTCCATGCATTGTTTAGCACTGGGCATATTTTACGTGTACCCATTCATTTTTTCGGCCCTTTTAACAAAGTTTTAAGAGGCAGTCCCGCTAACAGCGGTCCGGTCGATTTTGCGTCAGAAAAAAGTTTCCCTTTAAACTTTGTACACTAAAAGGGTTTAGTATATAAGTAATAAAAATGATTTTCTTTTTTGCAAATAATATATTTCCGCTTTCCTACAGGCGCGATCACGTCCGGGCCAATTCGTCTCCTCCAGAGCCCGGTTTGAGGACCGAAATTTGTCGTTTTTGAGGGCCGCGCCATAACAAAACTAAAACGAATTATAAAATATCTTTTACACCAGCTGTTTCCACTGCCTTTTATTGACAAATGAGCAAAATATCGAATTTTTTAATAATTTTGCAGACAATCTGTGAGTCCCGAAAAGACACCACTTTGAGCAGGTCACCCGACTGCCAAAAAACATGCTCAGATTCGAGAGCTAAAATCTCAATTGTGGGACAAAAATCTGATATAAAATTTATATCAAGGTCAAGGCCTTACTTCATTTTAAGAGGTTCTAAGGTCAAATCTGCGGGTATCCGCCTGCACACTTAGCGGTGAGAAGGTAATTTTGGCCATCATGGCACTCTGACTCTATAATTAGTATCATATATTTATCTACTTGATCGATCACCGCTTGACCGAAAAAATATTCACAGCTCTAAAATTTGCTTAAATGTTTCCTCAAAACCTTCAAACAAACGCTTTTTTGTAATTTTATTTGAAAATCATAAAGGAAAAATATTTTAGGTTCATAGAGCTAAGGTCAAGGAAACCACTATTCCTTATATGCAAATTAGCTGGTTGTCACGCAATACCTAACCAAAGTGGATGAGAAAGCAGAGTTTGTATCATGGCGACTTGTTTTCTGAAAACACGAGAGTTTGGAGACTGTGGAGAATTTCGAGGTATAGCTGAGCTTGTAAGCTTAGATCAATGTAGGAACGATTTAAGTCAACATTTATCCCGATGTCATTTGAGTCGAGAACGGATTATGGAGGGAGAATTGATTTTGGTGCGTTCAGGTTTGTTTTATACGACCGAAACGCAGAGACAAAAAATGCTTGTTTGTCCGAAGCACCGTGCGTATCTCGGGCAGTACTGGGGAAATCAGACAAAGTTAAGCTCATGCAAGTACCCTGGCCACAAGGGAGAGCACAGAGCGGTCAGAACAGATCGCGCATTTACTTTGAAGGTATCAAGGGAAGTAATGGAAGTGTTCGGTGTTCTTGTTCCTGTCGGAGCACGTGAGTATTTGCCTATTTTCTGGATTACCTCTTATTTGAAATAATTGAGACTCATAAACAACTTGCGCAAATAGCAGATATTATGAATAATCTCGTGTATGATTTTTTTAAGCGATCTGTAGTAGCTGTAGAAAGGCGCACAGCAAAAGGGTCCAGAGTAATTGGCCGTGGCTACAAGGAGGAAACGCGAATGCGGGACCACGCGATGAAGATGATGCAGTACTGCTGACTAGGTATCTTTAATATAAATATTCTTGTTTTTGACATTAAAATGCGCAAAAACAGTTATCCTCAGTTCTTGTCATAGCTCAAACACAATTCTGTTGGCGCAAGATAAGATCGTGAGAACGCTCGTTCGGGATTGGCTAGCTTAGCCCTGTTTGCGTTGTAATAAAAAGCCGACATGCTTTGTTCCATCCACCCTCTCGGTACTCTGAAAATACCCCAAGAACGGGACCATTAGAGAAACGTAATTGTTGGTAACAACATAAAGGAGCATTTGTATCCAGGAAAAAAATACCCTAAAAGTTTAAAAACGAGCCTAAGGGACGGACCATTAAAGAAACTAAATTGTTGGTTACAGTATAAAGGAGTGTTTGTGTATAGGAAAAAAATACCGTAAAAGTTCAAAAACGTGAAAAAAGTGTTGTCGATCACCTTTTCAATCACTTTATATTGTTTGTCCCAAACAGCATTGCGTTCAGACCTGCAAACCAAAATGTGGTAGCTTTTATTTTTTTATTTGTTTGTTTAAATGGCACAATCGCTTTATTATCGATATGAAATGCCCTCTAATAACAATTTCTGGGTGTAGGCGTGGCCTTCGGGGTGATTTCAGGCATTAGAAGAGATATGCCTCTTATATGCTGCTAAATTCCATAACTTGAAGTTTTCGGAGGGAAATCACCCTAGCTTCCCTTTAGCAGTAGGTCTCTTGCCAGTCGCTTTTCCATCATTGTCATGTGGTAATGCCTTCTTGTGTCTCATATAGGAAGAGCAAAGACAAGGCCTTGGCGGAGATGCGAGAGATCCCACCAGACACCCCAACTGTTTCCACACCACTTGGTGACTTCCCTTGGACACCTGGACAATGGCTCAAACTAGAGTCAGTGGACGATGACAGCACAGGCGAGGACATGCAGACTTTTCCAGACCAGACATTTGAGGTGTACAATACCGCAATGGCTCAAATCGCTGGACTGTCCGATATCAAGATTTTAGAGCCGTTGACCTTTAGGCTGAAAGTGGACTGGGGCACTGCGACAGAGAAAGAAAAGCAGATGTGCGAAGAGAAAGTTGACGACGCCTGTCGGGCAGTGTGTAAAGTGATCGCACCAAGCTCTAGCGAGGAGTTGCTGAAATCGTACGTGAAGCGTGCTTCCAGGTCAGATAAAGAGGTCGAGGCACTGACGTCAGCCTACAGGCAAGCACCAACCAAGAATCTGAAAACACAGATCCTAAGTATATATGCCTTGCGCTATACGTCAAACGAACTGAAGGCAATGCACGCGCCCTTTGAGAAGCTCAGTGATCGCCAAATAAAGAAAGCAAGAACACATGCAAAAACTGTAGGAGTTGGGCTCGAAGTTGAAAAAGTTCCTCATTACAGGGTACGCATTGATAGGTCGAAACTAGAACACTTTTTGGATTTTGTTGACCAGCCTTATTTTTATCAAGATGTTTCTTTTGGAACGAGAACAGTTAAGCTGGACTCAGGTCAGCAGATGGTTATGCCTAACGTAGTCAGAACTGTAGGGCGTTCAACAATGATTGAGCAATATCATCAGTGGTGCACAGAAGAAGACTATCAGCCTTTAGGCAGGTCCACCTTATACAGGATATTGAAAGTGCGAGAGGCATCACAGCGCAAGTCACTCCAGGGCTTAGATAACACGGCATCAAGTGGAGCAGAAGGCTTTGACACCCTCAATAAAATAGTGGATGACTTGGAGCAGTGTGGTGCACGCCATAAATGGTGCGAGGGATCTCGGGATAATCTAAAGGGAGCAAAGCGCTACTTAAAAACGAGCTACCGTGCGCACTGTCGTGAAGACAGCGACAATCTGTGTGCTGAGCACTGCAGAGAACACGCACTTAGCGATACGCAGTGCTTAGAGTTCAAGACATCCTGTACTCATGATCATATGGAGCTGTGTGAAAGCTGCGACAGTCTCAGGAACACACTGGGCTCTGTTTTGTCTGAGATTAAAGGTTCACAAGATGTCCAGTTCTACAGCAGAGACCAGCAAGAAGACATGTTGTACGATGCTGCTCAAGCACAGGACATGGTTCTCCAGTGGAAGGCCCACATCCTAAGGGCAGAGAATCAAGATCGCGCGAAAACTGATGCCGTTAATTGCCTTCAGAGTGATACCATTCTCATAGTGATGGATTGGGCCATGAAGTTTATACAGATGAAATACCGCGAAAACAATCAGAATGGTATGGAAAGCGTGGGATGAACTGGCATATAAGCTGTGTCCTATCAAAACCAGCAGACAGAGAACAGCTTGAGGTTACTTCTTATGTGCATCTCTTTGACAATTGTGCCCAAGACTCTTACACAGTTTACGCGATAATTAAGCATCTCTTGAAGACTCTGAAAATCGCCAACCCGCACATCAGCAAAGCCTTGCTGCGTTCAGATGGAGCTGGATGTTATCACAACAACAACCTGATTGCTGCTTTGAATGAGGTTCACGTTCATACTGGCATAAGTGTGTTAAGGTAATTGCTTTATTGTTTATATCTCTTATTGTACATCGTAAACATTTTACTACTCCGAGATATCAGCTCAAGGAACAAACATGCTACATTCATATATTTCATAACCTCTGTGCGCTAAGTAGCCACGTGCGTATTTTTTATTCTCCATTGCGTTTCACTGCAGAGATCATAAACTCGTCACTCTGGATACCGAAATATGCATGCGCCGGATGTGATTTGTATAAAAGAAAACGGGGAAAGTAAAATTCAATTCTTATCAAGGGGGATGTTTGTTTCGATACTTTAAGGATTAATCAGATAACAACAACTTCCAGTAAGCGCTTTCACCCTTGATTTCTAGGTATGACTTTTCGGAGCCGCAGTTCGGGAAGGATGTGTGCGACCGCATCATCAGCCCCCTGAAGGGCGTGGTCAGACGCTTCTGTAACGAGGGTAATGATATCCTGTCGGCGGCAGACATGCGTGAAGCGCTCAAGGTCCGACCAGTGAAGGGATGCACAGCTGCTGTTTGCGAGATAGAGCGCACTGATCAAGAAATCAAGGTAAACCGCATCCCAAACTTTAGCACCTTTCACAACTTTTCATATGAGGGAACTGGGCTGCGAATGTGGAAAGCCTATGATATTGGAGCTGGAAAACTCGTGCTGTGGTCAGACCTAGACGTCCAAGTTCCCGGTGCAATAACCTTGAAACCTGCCACCAACCAACTACAGTTCTGGGATGTTCAACCTAGGTGTGTAAAACTACAAGGAAAGACGAACCAAAGTGTAAAGCTTGACACAGAAACTGCGCTATTCGAATGCAACGAAGCCGGCTGCTCACATTCATTCGATAACTATGATGCCTTACAGGACCACATCAACTTTGGCAATCATGATCCCATCAGCACAAATCAAGAAAGTGTTTACGACAAGTTGCGTCGCGAGTGGGTTCGGAAATTCTCAGCAATGTCAGTAAGTGAGCAGAAACCGAAGCAGCCTACATCAGCAAAAAAGCACTATGACAGCAACTCATGCGGAGTCTTCTGAAGCCGGATGGGCCTTGCAGAAACCGAGGGGTAGTGGGACAAGGTTCTCAGAGAACGTAAAGTTATATCTCCAAGCCCGATTTGACGTCGGAGTACAAACTGGAAGAAAGTCTGATCCAGTTCAAGTGTCAGCGGATATGAGAAGCGCCAAAAACCAAGACGGCACTAGAAAATTCTCGAGAGACGCAGTGGCTGACGAAGATACAAGTTCAAGCCTTCTTTTCCCGACTTGCTGCAGCGCAGAAGAAACAGGTGACTCAGAGACACGTGGAAAAAGACGACGAAAATACTCTGCTGGATGAAGATCTTGCACACCTGGACCAACAAAACAAAGATAAGGATGTTCAAGAGGTGCTGTCGCAAATAGGACTGGAACATCCGATCACATATGATGGCTACGACATCTGCGATCTGGTCAAGACTGAGGCATTGTCGCGCTTTACTGTGAAGGAACTGAGGGTCATGTGTGACCACTTTGAGCTGCCACGTAAATCAACGGACAAGAAAGCCGCTCTGATTAAACACGTTACCGACATGGTGGAAGAGTGTAGCTGCTCATAAACACGGCTGGAAAAGAACACATTGATTTTTATTCGGCGAATCAACTGGGCCGTGAACTCAGTTAGCATGTTCCACTTCGAGAGGGTGTTGTGAACAAGAGCTCTATGTACGAACCTTTTTAGAATGATGAGAAAGCCGTACCCCAGCACCACACCCATGTTCCGCCCCTTATAGTGAAAATCCTAAAATAAGTGAACTGTATATGAAACCCTGGATCCGTAAATAATTATAGTATATGAGCGGGAGTACAGGGCTCGGGGGAGGCTTTACTTGTTTGCGAAACTTTGTTCTGATTTGAGACTTTTATTAGATAACAAAATACACAAAGTGCATTTTACACCTGGATTTCTGTACTACACTAAGATGAATTGACACCACCTTACAAAACAGTCTCGTGGGCATAAAATTAGCCTAGCCTGGATTCTTTTACAGACATATTTTTGTTAGCCTAGTATTTTTCGTATTTCGCTACTCATGTTTCATGGGAGATTCTGAACCAAAAACATCCGGGTTTTTTTTAGCTGGGATGAAATATTTAAGTTAATCTTGACTGAAGAGGCGAATATAGGGCACATAGTAAGCGTATAGATTTTCTATCAGTGCGCGACTCGAGCGTTACATTCACACTGTGCTATATAATAGATGGCTGGATCTCAGTCACAGGGCCAGTAATTCGTATTCTGCGTAAATTGGCTGACTTCAAAACCGACTGTAGAATTCACCAAACAGGGCATTTCATATTGATAGTAAAGCAGATTGTGCCATTTAAACACAGAAACGAAAAATAAAAGCTTCCACGTTTTGGTTTGCAAGTCTGAACGCAATGCTGTTTGGGACACACAAATATATAAAAAGTGACTGGGGAGGTGATCGACAACATTTTTTCACGTTTTTGAACTTTTTGGGTATTTTTTTCCTGTATACAAATGCTCCTTTATATTGTTACCAACAATTTAGTTTCTCTAATGGTCCGTCCCTTGGGGTGTTTTTAGAGTACTCAGAGGATGGGCGGAACAAGGCATGTCGCCTTTTTATTACAACGCAAATACGGCTAAGCTAGCCAATCTCGAACGAGCGTTCCCACGATTTTATCTTCTGCAGACAGAATTGTGTTCTCTCTCCATAATCCGCCCTCGACTCAAATGACATCGGGAAAAATTGTTGACTTAAATCGTTCCTACATTGATCTAAGCACACACGCTCAGCTATACCTCGAAATTCCCCACAGTCTCCAAATTCTCGTGTTTTTAGAAAAACGAGTCGCCATGATACAAACTCTGCTTTCTCATCCACTTTGGTTAGGTATTGCGTGACAACCAGCTAATTTGCATATAAGCAATAGTGGTTTCTTTGACCTTAGCTCTATAAACCTAAAATATTTCGCCTTTTTGATTTTCAAATAAAATTACAAAAAAGCGCTTTATTTGAAGGTTTTGAGGAAACATTTAAGCAAATTTTAGAGCTGTGAATATTTTTTTTCGGTCAAGCGGTGATCGGTCGAGTAGATAAATATATGATACTAATTAAAGAGTCAGAGTTATTTTTGTAAACAAAGTGCCATGATGGCCAAATTTACCTTCTCGCTGCTCCGTGTGCAGGCGGATACCCGCAGATTTGACTTTAGAACCTCTTAAAATGAAGTAATACCTTGATCTTGATATAAATTTCATATCAGATTTTTGTCCCACAATTGAGATTTTAGCTCTCGAATCTGAGCATGTTTTTTGGCAGTCGGGCGACCTGTTCAGAGTGGTGTCTTTCGGGACTTACAGATTTTCTGCAAAATTATCAAAAAGTTCGATAGTTTGCACATTTGTCAATAAAAGGCAGTGGAAACAGCTGGTGTAAAAGATACTTTATAATTATCTGTAGTTTCGATATGACGCGACCTTCAAAAACGACAATTTTCGGTCTTTAAATCGGGCTCTGGAGGAGACGAATTGGCCCGGACGTGATCACGCCTGTGGGAAAGCGGAAATATATTATTTGCAAAAAAGAAAATCATTTTTATTACTTATATACCAAACCCTTTTAGTGTACAAAGTTTAAAGGGAGACTTTTTTCTGACGCGAAATCGATCGGACCGCTGTTAGCGGGACTGCCTCTTAAGATGATTGTGTGAATTCAAAATTTACCCTAGGTACCCTTGTGACATTATTGTGACCAAACCTTATTACACTTGTTACATTATTACATTTGCCAACCAAACTTTATTAAACTTGTCTCTTTATTACATTTGTGCCCTATACTGCTACTGCAATGAACTAATCAGTTACCTTAAAGGCCAGCTTTTACTTACCATAAGCCATTGCATACTTTCACGGGTAAGCCGGAAAAAGCTTTTGGTTAAGCAGTCATTGCATGTTCATGTTTAATAGTGATAAAAAGCCGATAAATGGTGACCCGTGACTTATTGCCAGCTGGCGTGGACGGAAAAAGGTACAAAGACAGCTCATAACGGACCAGCTCGACTGGGATGCCTCAACTTCTTCATGAAGTTATTCAACATGAAAAAGTCTTTCAATTTAACAGTAGAACCAGGTAATCAATGAAACCTGGAAGAGTAATTCTAAAGAATACTTGTTGTGGTGAAATATGTAATAAAAAAGATCACTATTGTTATGGCAGCAGAGCACTTTAAGTAGAGGTGTAAACTTGAAAATTGTTCGCTATAAGGTGTCTAAGACTCTTTGAATAATTCAAGAGATCTCGCTGGGACGTGGCTTCCCAAAACCAAGTTTGCTTAGTTGCCGTTAAGTAGCATCAGCAATTAAGTAATCAAACAGCAACCCACAACTTTCATGTCCACAAAATGGAACTTAAAACCTTTTAAGGAACGGTAGCTTAGAACAATGACATTATTGCGGGAAAAGGTTCTTATTCGGGGCCACTGGCCACAACTCATGGTTACCGCTTACTGAACTGAGCAGCCATTTTAATAGGTTGAGGGAATTCGCCAATAAAGGGCCGTGGCTGTGACCATTCGAATGTGTATGGTAAAATGTGTCGGTTGAAAACTGTCCAGTTCCCAGTGACAGTGTCCACATACAAGTTTCTTGGTTTCCATACAGGTTTACAGTAAGGAGTCTTACCCTGTAAGCAGCTTACTTTGTCATCAACATATACAGCTATTTACTGTTTAAAAAAAAAACGTGGAATAAATCGTGAACTCATGGGTATAACTCTCAGGTACAAGCCGAACAGAATAGTGGCAAAGCTTACGTTTCTAATGACAGACAGAAACAGAAAATCATTGTTTAACCATTTTCGCTTTGCTACGCAACGCCAATAAGAATTTATTGTCCTCTTCGGTTAGGCCATCACTAATACAGTCCTAGTTTCACTCTCCACAAATCGCCAGGTTATTAATCCTGAACCGAATGGTTTGCTCATAACATAGTTATTTATATTTATTAAGTGTTTTTGATACAGGATGTTGAAGAAAAACTTTGGCAAAAAAGTAACAATGTTGTACATCTCCTTTCATTTCTTTATTTATGGTGAAATAAGCAAATTAACCTTGAACAGTTCCATGGTGAAAGTAAATCGATTTTACGCTAAAAATAACCAATTACTTAAAACATTATTTTCAAGCTTCGCTTAAATGCATAATTGCATTCAAACGTCGGCGATAAACGACTAAGACATTTAAGTATTTTCAAGACTGTTTATAGTGTAAAGAAATATGGGAATCTTGACATGGTTATATCGTACGCATTTGTGACACCCTATAGCCAAAACTCACCGTGGTAGCCTACCCTATTTTTGACCCGTTTCTTTTCTGGGTCTGATGGAAGGGGATACAACAGTGTGTGGATCCACTGAAAAAACTTGCAGCGAGATTCAGCAGGATAAGCAGGGGCACAAAAGGTTAAAAAAACTTTGTTCAGATTTCTGGCGGTTTTACTAAGTCGCATTTTGGGAATGAACGAGCAATGAAATTTTAAATGTCCCCATTTGGCATGTACTTCAGGATGAATGTACACTTTCTTCTTATCTTCCACCTTGCCATAAAACCTGGGACATGGATTGTTTCCTTCCATGAGGAGAAATTGAGTGTTTAACGGTTCCTCAGGGTTAAAACAACCCGCATTGACCATCTCAAGATCTCCAAAGTTGAATGCCATCGTGATAAATGAGATTGATCCATGGATCTTAATTTATAGTGGGTTAGGATCCCCAGGGTGTTGGACATGTTAAGGCAATGACATCATCCTAGGTCCCTAGGGTGTGGGGCAAGATACGACAGGACACAATATAGTCAGCAAGCCGTTCTTATTAGCAAAGAGGAAACAATGAATTTACAATAAAAGACTGTTCTGAAGGAAACTTGAATCCTCCAAGAGGTTTCTCGACTTAAGGACGTTTCTGCATTCATTCATGGACCATGTCATTCAATTGTTTCTTTAATGCTTATCGGGTCGCTGTTTTAGGGACATAGTTAGGTTTGGGTGCTTGATGATAAACCCATTGAAAATAGCCACAGCGAGTCTCCCTGGTCTTGGAACAGCTAAGGAATACTTTGTTCACGTTTCTGGGGGTTTGACTCAGTTCCAGGATAGGCACTAATCCACAGTGACAGGCAAAGGTTCCCCACTGATTCAGGACTTTGGTATGCATTTCATTGCATAAGGCGTCTAGAACTTTTTGTTCACTTTTTGACTCGCAGTTCATCTCAAGCATAGGGTGATCTTCAATTATCTCTTTGGGGTTCACTCTTATCTTGGTTTTCTTGCCTTTGGAACGTTTCTCTTTTCCAATGTCTCCATCTTGCTGATGGGTGGTTCTTGCATCTTGCACATCATGAATGATCTGACCATCCACAACGCGTCTGTTTATAGCCAACAACTGTCCCTTGGGTCTTGAACATGTCTGGGCAGTGACATCAGACGTTCTTTCTAGGCAGGGTATAAAAGAGTGGGTTACGTCATACTCTGTTTAAACTACCATGACTCAACCAAGTGATTCCTCTTTTTATGTCACCCTCACTAGCAGTAAAACTCAGAAATTTCTCAACAATTCTCCTTCCCATTTCCAATGTTGCTTGCCTCAAACATTATGGTTGTCAGGCAAATGGAAAGTGGGGTTAGCCAGTTTATATTTACGCGGCACCCCTAATCCTATTCCACATGTGGTCACTTCTCATGCCCCCCTTCCTGTCTCATCCCACTATCCCAGCAGTAAAGCCATCACCTCCCATCTCCTACAAAAAATTATCCAATTGATACAAAGGAACAACTACAGAGATTATGTTTCAACAGTATGCCAAAGCATTCAAGTCCAGTCAATCGCAAGAATTTTTGTCTCAACTAAACAAGTCTGATTTACCTAATGCGACCACAGGATTTTACTTTTTGGCCAAAGTGTTCAGTTGGATGCATCAAGATCTGAACAAAATAATCAGGATAATTACACGACTTGGTTGTTACGCCATTATGATATTGACAGCATAAACAGAAAAAGTGTGCCCTATTTAGCTATTATGCTATTTATTAATCTGATGATAGCTAAACGGATTGGTTGGCTCGTAGAAACAGCCAGCAACGTGTTTCATGTGGGACCTAATTTACTCATGGAACTTCCCTATGGCAAAACCTCAGTGAAACCAGATCCTGCCACATGTCTGAATTTTAAATTTACCTTTACCAAACCGATTCATGTGGTCGATGGTTTGCTGTATCTATGCTCTACCTTTAGTTGGCGATTTGTGAATTTAAGTGAAGCTTTCAAAAAAGCACCACCCAAATCTTTGAGACACCTAAAACAGAAACGAATGTGTTCCAAGCATGGATGAGTAATCTTTCCCCTATGGCGTGACAACTGGTTTAAATTTGGACAATTCTTTCATTGAGTTGCCTGTGTCTCATTACTGGAAACCAACAACTTTAAGTGTGTCACTGTTAGAAGGGGTCAAGATTGTGGATGGTGTGTCTGAAGGCGAATACAACGGAGAACTGGAGATTAACATGACATCCCTAACCCAAAACAACACATATAGTGTTGCTTTGGAATGGTATCAAAAGGATCAATGGTTGTTCAACCATTCTCAATTTTCTGCAGACGGGACTGGTTCAGAAATACACAATGTAACTGTCCCCAAACATACTCATGAGCAGAACAAGACTCATTTGATTTATCATCATACACTCACGATTCAATTTAGGAGATCTGTCAGAGGCAATGCAAGCCTCAATAAGTAATAGAGGCGCTGAACTGGACTGTCGGTTCTTTTTTCCACAATGGTGTCAAAGGATTTTCGCCATGAAGGATAATGTAAGAGATCTCCTTTGGAAGTTTGTGGTTCGGGTAGCGGCAATGACTCCCGTGTGTAACACTGAGTCATCAGGTCAGCTAACCATTCGACGAAGTCTCCAGTTGTTGGGTTTGGAGAAGTTACACTTTGATCGAAGTTAAGTTCCAAGCTATTTGGAGTCAATTGTTTGCATTGCATGATACGCAGACTTGTGGGCTCCGCGTTCTTAGGCGTTGACAAAACAACGTATTCTGGCACGAATGGATTCAACAATGATGGGTAATTTATCACAGGAAACCCAGGGTTGTTAGAATCTTCGATTCTCGGTTCCAGTTGGTCGTTTTCATGTGACTGTGAGATCCGGAAAGATGTACTTGGGAGAAGGGGATTTTTTGTTTCCATTAGACATGTCTGCACAGTTGAAGGGCTGTCTATAGCTACAGAAGAGGGTTGCGTTACAAGATAATTTTGTAGGAGATCGTCTTTAGTGATGAATCCGGGAAATATGGCTCTGTTATTTCTGTCATTTAAGCCTAGCTCACTCTCTTCTACCTTAGTGATGGCATTCATGTCAGCTTGCGCTGTAGCTAACTCCTTTGTAAGCGTAAACTTCTTTAATTCTGCAACTTTTGTTGCTTCGCCTTCTGCAAAATTCAATTCTGTCTTTATCTTGGCAAGTTTGACAGCAGTTTCCGTTTTCTTATCAATTATAGCTGATGAATGCGATATTTTGCTGCTCGAACGTGACTTCGCACTGTGAAGTGAAATTTATTCACTGAAGAGAATAAGCTTTGGTTCTCGTTCTTAAGCTCTGTTATTTTTGAGTTAACTCGTTTTAGTGCATCTGAGTGTTATCATTCCTACATTTCAAATTTATCTTCTGCAACGCTTTGCTTCTGAATCTTCCAGGGCATCTAGAAATCGTTCCTGCACAGAGACTAAGATATCCATTTTAGACTCCAGAAAATTTCTCTTGCTTTGCAACTTCCTTGGATCAGTTGAGTCGGCAAGGCAGTTTTCGATATTATTTATCTGTCTACGCCAGCCACGCTGGGTGGAAGACCTTTCATCTTCATACAATTGCCTCTGGAATTCCCTGCCTTTTGCTGTTTGATCGCGAGTTCTTTTCTTATAGGATCTGCCAGTGCTCTGGAAATCATAGCCAGTGGCCATACTTAGATTGGTGCAATCAACACGTTGTTGTCTCATGCGTTTACCAACAAAGATTTTTTACTGTAGCGGGAGCAGAGGTGAGTCGATTTATACAAGCACAAATTCACTCTCTGACCATGCAAGGATAAGGGCCTTTACTGCGATTTCCACCAAAAGCCAGTCTACTCTTTTATAATTCTTTAATGATGTGGCTTGGAATCACGTAAAAACTGAAATAACAATACAGCGAAGCATCCATAACTAACAAAAATTTATCTGGACATGAAATATGGGGGGTAACCCAAAATAAAATATACAGTTTTAGACTCAAAAGGTTTAAGGATAGTCAGCACCATAATTCGGAGTACAATCAAACAACATGGCATATGTAAATAAAGGATAGCAAAAACATACCTCTTTTTCCTATCTGAACTCTTAAAACAAAAATAAACACATCTTTCTTTCTTCAAAATAAATTGTCTCTCCCAAGTATACAATTATGTAAGATAACACCTGCGTTAATAACTGTGCTACATAACTACGACGTAGATGTTACGCAATGAAAAATAACGTGATTATACCAAATCACTTACAAAGGATCTTCTCCACAATCTGGAGATGTCAGGTAAAGTGGTGGAGTCGTTGGCATTCGACATCAATGGGTGTCAAAAGTTTGTCCTTCCATGTGATCCGACAAACCTTCTGAAATCGAGCAAACATGGGCGGCCTTGGAAAACTTGGTTCACATCACGGCATTCAGGATTCAAAGGCATTCGAAGACGAGCACAGTGTGGTGGATCGTAGGCATGTCCAAATTCAAATTGTTTATTCCGTAATGAAAGAAAGACCCCTAACACCATGCAGTTTGCGGGGAGAAAGAATGAAAAGCAGTGTTTCCTGTGGGAGACCAAAGCTACCTTCGTCCAGTGTAAAGCTATTAAAGTGTGGGATTTACTGAATGCAAGACTTTGGGTACTGTGTACCATCAAGGAAATCACACGTTCACACCGGTCCTCAAAAGACCTTTTTGAAAAACCACACAATCACGCCATCACAAGCCGCAAGCCACACATTAGTGGAAGCTTTAAGAGACGAACGTGACTGGCAAAAAATCGATGCAGTGGCTGTAACTCTTGACGAGCTTAAAGGAATAGAGGCCATTAAGGAAAAGTCAAGAAAGGATGACCTGGGTCACTCTTTTGAGGCATTGGCAGAATTTAAAAAATTTTGCGACAAACGTGACCTGTTTTATGTCTATCGAATAAATGATGAGCGTCAGAACGAGCTGTCATTTGCGTTTAAAACCTCTTGATTTCAGGCTAGCCTTGGGCTTCTGATGGACAGAGAAGGAACGGTTCTACTTCATGAAAAATATTGCTATATCGATGCAAAGCACAACCGATGCAGTGGCTTCAACACTATTACTCTGGGTTTACCGCCCAATGCTGCAGCATCTCTATGTTGCAACATTTTTAAATCACTGCTCTGAACGTGTCGTTTTTTTGTACCGTAAAGAAAAGCTGAGCATCTGCTCAAAAGTCAAAATAATTGACGCTGAAAGTCACCATGCTTAATAAATGAATTGCATCTCAAAACGCGGCACTTCGGGGTGACGAAAATTGCATTGAATTGTGTGATGGAAGTCACCTGTGTTACAAATCAAACATTAACTATGACCTCGATATAGCGAACTTTTTGGTCATTTCCCCTCAAATTCGTTTTATCAAGGTTTTCGATTTAACAAACAAATTTGGTCAGTCCCCAGTGACTTTGTTAAATCGAGGTTCCACTGTAATTAAATGAATAGGATATTATGTAAATATTGCTGAGGTTGTTGACATTATTTGCTGCAGCTTGAGTGTAACACGATTCACCATGGTGTTCGGGAAATTCTTTGCCTTTTTAGCCCTTAAAAACAAAAGCTACTGCATCTGTAAGTGTTTGGAATTATAGAGAAGATCATAGAACATACAGATAAGGATAAATTTTCTTCATGAACATATTTAATAATGCTATTTGAAGCGCTTCACCATGGTGAACCAATACTCCATAAAGTCTATGGTACTATAATTACTTTACAGTACGACATAGTGGTGAATCGTTGAGATTTGGCGCTTATAAGATAGATAGCTCGTTAAAACGTATGATCTCGTTTAATAATGTATTTCTCTACATAGTTAGCTCATCTTTGTGTGTAGAACCTTTAAGATCATAGAAAAAGAAGGAAAGGGTTCCATTTTCATCTGACACCTCTGTGTAGTTATTTCAGATAACGACTAATTAGCGATATTCTCTACCATTCTCTCCCAGAGGCTCGCAAGAAAAGCATGTCACCATAAATACCAAATCAGTTTCAAGTGATAAAATGGCTCCAAAAATTCTTTTCTGCTATGTAAAAATCACCAAACATCATCTCCATTGCCATATGTTTGAGTAATTTTTTCTTCCCTTCGGTCTTGAAATATGCACCCTTGTTCAATTCTGATGAACTTTTAGGCACATCCTTTTCACTGAAGTGGTTTTGGAGAAATGTATGTTGAAATCGTTCATAATCAAAAGTATGCATACCAGCTATATAATTATTAGTCTGACTTAACATCTAGAACAGTAACAACAAGAATACTCATGACATTTTTAACAGTAAAGGTGGAAATAGTTACCCTTCATACATTTCGTTACCTGTCCATGCCCTCCCAACGCAAAGACAATACTCATCACAAACCTTGAAACACTTGTGTGATTTTCCCCTTCCCCAATGTTGATTTGGGTATTACAGTCGTCTCACTGGTCCAAAATTCGCGTGGGCCAACATTGGGGAAGGAGAGGGGTAAATTTAAGTGAGAACGAAGGTGTCAGGAGTGAATGTAAGAAATTTGGAGAAAATTCAAGACAAATGGCTCCTGTTTCAACGATTTGTGACCAGTATTGTAGCTAATCTTGTTTTGGAGCACAAAATTGGCTATCTTACAAAAGGAACGTCAGACAATATTTTTGTCATGGAGTGCAAACTCCCTGGTCAATCCCAGCTCAACATCAAAAGAGTGTTTGATAATACTCATAGGTTAGTAAATTTAAACGGGTAGAGTATGCCGTAGCCAATTCTTCATTTAGACCCAGTAAATACCGTAAATCCTCTATTAAGGCCCCTGGGGGGCTTATTTTTTTCAAGCAATTTTGAGGGGGGGCTTATTTAATGTAGCGAAACCAGGAGCCGATTGCAAAAATGCATCAACGGGAGCAAGGTTTCTCGAGGATGGACATGTGGTTTCTGAGTGTTATACTGCTTGTCTAACAATACGAAAATGGTAACAATTCTTAACAGAGAATTAAGGCATAAAGTTGAAAAAGTTAAGCACATGAGGTTGGAGGTCATGCAGCTGAGGACCAAAAACAATGTGAATTTCCAGCCTGAATAAACCATAACTGATCAGTCCACGTTTGTTTGTAAAGAGGGGAGGGGAGGGAGAGGGGGAGGGAAAGGGGGACGGGGAGGGAGGCTTATTAACTTTCCTCCTATGAAAAGGGGGGCTTAATAGAGGATTTATGGTGTTACATTTGCCACTTGAGAGGTTATTGATGAGGCTGATGTGTTTCCTGTTCATTTTAGCATTGATTTCCTCTGGTTTTCGTCATGAAGCAGAATTTGACCTCTGAAGCAATTTAGGGATTCTTTAACTCCATGAGCTCTACATAGTTCACAAAAATCATTCCAGTCATCAGATGTTAAATGCACCTCTCTAATTAACTATTTCTATAGGACACATTAAAGTTCCTTTGTCAATTTTAACGCCCTTAGAATAAGTGGAGCTGAGATAAACCTTACTCTCTGGGCTATAAGCACTGATGTCTTGATTTGCAATTTGGCTCAAAGCATCTCTGCATTGAAGATGTGCATATTTTCAAACACTATTATGAAATGACACCATTTTTGTTGTGGATTGGGATATACTGTATAAGCTGTACGGATGAGCAAAGAAGTAGAGTAAAGGATTTATCTTCTCTGGTGAGATATGATGACAGTTGTTTAGCTGCAATAATGCGTATTCAAAGTATCATACGAGTAGTACAACCACGCCCAAACACATGCTCCTACAGCGTCTTGTTTTCATACAAAACCACATTCAAGAAAAGGTGGTATTTAAATTTCTGCCAAGGATAAAATGAACCAAATGAGCCAGCAAAATTACAGATATAACAGTCCTGAATGGGCCATTACCCTTTACCAATATTCTCGTGGCATGTATGTTTACATCCATTTTACTTATTTTTTGGACAGGAAAACCCAGATTCATCAACAAA